CGGGAGGCCCCTTCTGGTGCAGGATGGAGTAAGAAGAGACAGGGGCAGCCTGGGGAGAGGGGCCACCTGTCCCCATAATGCCACACCCCATCACGGAACTCTGAGGAGTCTGAAATTCTAAATTCAAACCCAGTCTGCCAGGTTGTTATGAAAGTGTGTTTGTCAAGGTGGGAGGGCAGGAGGTCCCTTAGCTTGATTTATAACTGGAATATATAGACATCTGGCACGTGGGCCTCCATTTCTGCTCTTGTTCCACACCTGATAACACCAGGCCCTAGACTGGCTTCCTCCACGCCGCCCCCCCTACCCCCGGCATCCCCGCCTCCCCGAGGTTCTGACCCTGTGACCCCAGCCAAGGTCAGGGAAACTCGATTCTACTGGAGCCTGGATCAGATGCAGTCTGCCAGAGTCACCTTTCATTCCCGACTCCTTGGGGCCAGTGGGTGGGGCAGGGGTTTGGAAAAGATGTTCTCTGGCCTGGGTTGAGCAGGTGAGTCTGGTTGTGTGTGTTCAGCACTCGGCAGGTGCTCGCTCTGAGCACATGGAGGCTGGAGCACAGGGAGTCGGTTCTCTGGGTGTGGGTGTTTGCTGAGGGGCCACAGGTGCCTCCCGACTCTCCTGGTCTCACTGGGGCCTCCGCTCCTCCCTCGGCGACACTGTCCTCTGTCTGGGTTCTCAAACCCATTGGGCTCCTTCTCTTCTTGGGCCTTTGCTCAGATGGGACCCTGCACCCGGGGTGTGTCCACTCCTTTGCTTGACCGGGTCCGTTTCTTGTTCAGGTCCAGCCTCAAGGCCACCGCCTCAGGGGGCCTTCTCTTGCCCCCCTGACAGCACCCCTCCCTTCAATAGAAGCAAATGTCAGTGCCCTCTGCCCTCTCCAATCAGTAATTTTCCACCTAGGGTGTCTCAGGATATCCCCTAATCCTCTTTGGCCTCAGTCTCCAAGTCTGGGAATTGGAACCACTAAGATGTATCCCAAAGTATTCAGAAGATGAGAGCTTAGTAATGGGGAGTGGGCTGTCCCCCACCGGAGGGCCCAGGGATGACCAAGAGAGGGGCTCTCAGAGGCCAGAGACTGGCACCAAGCCCACGCTGGGATGAGAACATGGAGGAAGGTGCAAGGAGACTGGTAGGAGGCAGGGAGCCTGGTCAGGGGTAGGCAGAGTCACTAGGGAAACCCAAAACCTTGCCTCTCAGGCCACCCCTTGGGCTCTGGGCAGAGGCCCACTCACCAGGCCCCCTGCCCCCACCTGCACCCCAGCTGCTTCCCAGCCTGCCCCTCTGTCCAGGCGGAACAGACCTGGCACATCCTCTCTGCGAGGCCTTACCCTGAGTTTCGTGGGCATTATCTCAACACTCAGCACAGTCCCAAGAGGGATGTGCTATTATTATCCCCATTTTACAGATGAGAAACTAGGAGCTGAGAAGGGTTTAAGAAACATGCCCAAGGTCACTCAGCTTATAAATGGCAGGGCTGAGCTACAAACCCAGGTCCGATTCCAGAGCCTGAGCCCTCAGCCCCTCTGCTGCGTTCCCACTGGCCTCAGCCTCCCAGGGGCCAAGGGGGCAGGGAGGGTGGGCGCTACCCATTTGTTAGCCTACCTGGCACCAGAGAGAGGGGAGGGGAGCATAGCCTGAGAGCTTGTCCCAGGACAGCCCACTCTTGGTCCTGGACAGGTGTCACAGGGAGGGGGCGCGGAGCCGGGGACAAAGTCGGGTGGCCCAGGGCAGCAGGCATCTGCTCCCAAAATGCTGGGGTGTCCTGGGGCCCTGCCCACACTCCTCTGTCTACACTCACCCCGAGATGATCTCATCTACTCCCATGGGTTTAAATCCCACCTCTACGCCATGGATGACTTCCAAATTTACACTTCCAGCCCGCCTTCCCCTGAGCTTCCAGCTTGCATCACCACACACTGCCCACCTTACACTTCAGACTCAACATGCTCAAAATCGAGCTCCTGGTCCTACCCCTGCCCCCCCAAAACTGCTCCTCCCGTCCTCCGGTAACGGCACCAACACCCACCCAGAATCAAAGACACTGACGTCATCCTCGAGTCCTCCTTCCTCACCCTGCAGATCCCATCCACCAGCAAGTCATGTGGGACTTTCCTCCAAAATGTACCCTGAACCCCACCGCTCTCCCCCTCCCCGCTGGTAAAGTCCTGGCCCAGGCCCCCATCAGCGCCTGCGCACTAGATCAGCCTCCTCACCTGTCCCCCGCCCCCTCCCCAAGTTACACACTTGGTGGAATCCACTCAAGGCGCTCCACTACTTAAAAGCTTCTGGCAGTAATGAAAATAAACCCAACTCTTCATCAGAGCCTCAGGGCCTTGTAGATCCAACCCCTGCCTACCTCTCTGATGCCATGCTGCCCTTGCGCACCAAACACCAGCCACAGTGGCTCCTTTCTGTTCTTTGAACACGCCAAATTTGTTAACTGCCCCAGGGCCTTTGCACTCACTGTTCCCTCGGCCTAGAATGCTTCTCAGTCCCATGGCTTCTCATCTCAGATGCTACCCCCTCCTAGAAAACCTTTCTGACCTCCCTTTTCCCTTCCACAGGACTGACCACATTCTCTGTCTTCTTCATATACGTGCTCCTGTGTTTACTATTTCAGAGTTTCCCCTCTGAATGCAAAGCTTTTGTCTTTTCTACCCTAGACTCTCCAGCGCTGTGACACTGTGGACACTCCACGAATGTCTGAATGACTGAACGAATCAGCCTCAGTTTTCCCTTCTGTAAAAGGGGGATGAAGAAAGAGCATCGATCCAGACAAGTCCTAGCAGGGTCCCGGCAGCTGCTTTGCCACATCCACTGCAGAGCCGACAGCAGGGCCGTTGGGGGTGCCCAGAAGCCCAGGCTGGCCTGGGGCAGCCTCTAGTCCCTCTGGTGTATTTTTCCACTTCCTCTCCGTGGGGGGTTGGCTCCTGGGAAGCCCCGGGAGATGGAGCGGCTGTTTCCATGCTCACGGGTCTGGGGACCCAGCCCTAGACGGAGAGGTCAGGAGCCCATGAGGGAGCAGGCGGGGCTGGCTAGGGGCCCCACTGAATTCCCTCTGGGTGGCCCAGCTGTGGCCTCCTCTCTAGCTTTCATGAGGATCAAATAACGCTTTCCCATCCACTCCTCCATCTCAGGCCAAGCCCTCCTCCTGGACACCCGGCGCATCCTCCTACAAGGCCGCTGTCAGAGGGCCCCGGGGTGCTGGGGGCAGCGAGAGGACCCGGGCCTCCGGGGGCACAGTCCACATCCTGCTCCACTCAACAAGCTAAGAGGGGCCCAAGTCAGCTGTGGCCACACCGGCCTGCTGTGTTGCCTACTTACCGGCCCCTGCCTCGGCTGGACAGTGACCTCCAGGAAGACAGGGACCAGGTTGGCTCTGGCACACATGGGTCCCCAAGCCTAACTGACCACCAACAGCTCCCTCCCCACATGTTTACAAAAGGGTGTTTACACCCATGAACTCCCTGGAGTCCCGCACCGCCCTGTCCGTGGTCCCATCCTACAGATAGGGAAGATGGAGGCCCATGCGCCTGCATGTCCCTGTGCCCGGTTCAGGGCCTGGCTCTCAGAGGCTCTCATGACTGAGATTAGGAACCTGGGCTTTGGAATCTAATAGATGCTGACCTTCCTGGCTGGGGGACTTTGGGCAAGGCATCTCACCTTGGGGTCTGTTCCCTCAGCTGCAGGATGGGCATCATGGTACCTGCCTCATGGGGCTGTTGTGAGCCATCCTGTGGAGAATGGTGTGGGGCACATGAGAAGGGCTCAGCAGAAGGGGGCTGAGGTCACCTTCCCCCCTCCCCACGCCTCATGCCCAGAGCACACAGCCTGAAATAAGCTGGCGTTCAGCAAATGTTCTATGGATGAAAGGTAGGAATATGGTTTGTACACCGTAAAGGGCTGCATTTCCGTGGGTGTTTCTTAAAGCACTAAGGCCTCTGGGCTTTGCTGTGTCCAGAGTCCCCGCCACCCCCTCACCCTGACTGCTGGGCCACAGGGAAGGGGCCCATCTGTATCTCTTGCCTGTTTGTCTCTGCAGCTCTGAGGGTCGTGTGAGCAGGAGGGGGGCTCTGTGGGAGCCCATCCCCAAGAGACAGACGGCCTCCCCTGCTGCTGACCAGATGGGCCCAGCCGCCCCCGTGGTGGCTTTCCAACATCTCCCAGATACACTGCTCCAGTCAGAACCCTTCCCTTTAGCCCCAGGCTTGGCACTGGGCTTCCAGGTGATTTGAGGGGCAGGAACAACCATCCAGTGCAACTGTCCTTATTAGAGGTCGGGAAACAGGCTCAGAGAGGGCAAATGACTCTCTTGAGGCTTCACAGCAGAACCTGGCTTGGACCCAGGACGTCCCCTCAGAACTGCTGCCCCTCGGAGGGAGGGGCCTCTGCTTCCCTCTCTCACAGGCCAGTTGCTTCCTTTGCAGGGAAGGTCACTGGGAGAAAGCTAGGGTTTCTGAAGAAGGTGAGGGAGGGAGATGCCTGAGCCGGAGGCCAGTGTCGCTGCCTCCTCCCTGTCTGCTCAGCCCCCATCCCCCTCCCGGGAGAGCACCATCCTCCTTCTCAGCACCAAAAAGCCATCCCGGACTCCATTTTTCTCTGGGGATCCTGGGGAGGGGGGGTCACGACCCCATCTGCCCCCCTAAACCCAGGACCTTTTGTCTTTGCGGTTGCCCCCCACTCCCCGCCACCTGGCCCTCCCAGCGCCCTGTGGGATCAGAGGCAGGAGGGGGATTAGGCTGTGCAAATGGCTCCCCCCTCCCCGCCATCCTGCTTCCCTGTCTTAGTCATCTCTGCCCTCCGCCGCCTTCTCCCTCCATTACGATCCCTCTGCCAGGCCCGGGGGAGAGCGACGGTGGCAGGCGCCCCCCATCCAGGGGCGGCGGCGGAGCCAGGTGCCGGCGGCTCGCAAGAGGATCGGAAACGGTCTCACGGCCACCCCCCTCCTGGTCCTGCAGCACCCCCAACCCCCCCGCTCCCCCCGCTCCGCCGCCGCGCTGCGCACGGATGGCGCCGGGAGCTGCAGAGGTGTGTGTGTGAGGGGGGAGGCTGTGCCTGGTCCTCGATGTCCGGGGGCTGTGTCCTCTCCCAGGGACACAGCTGCGGAGGGGGTCCCTAGCCACGATCCAGGGATCCTCATGGGGGAGGGAGCTGTCTTCCGTGGAGCCTAGGGCTGGGGAGCACTGCCCTTGGGGTGCTGCCCGCTCCGAGGGACGCGGGAGCCGAAGGGAGGCGCTGAGTAATGCAGGCCCCCTTGGTGCCTATACTGGGGGAGGGGGGGCACCCCAGGGTCTCTTAGCAGAGCGCCGTCTTCCCCAAAGGATGTGGCGGAGGAGGGGGGCGTGATACCGTGGCCGGTGGCTTGACGACGTTTGCGGACAAGCGGGGGGCGCTGCCGTCCCTGAGGGGCTCTGGTGGGGGGGCACCCTCCGTCTGGCTGCAGGCGGGGGGCGCGCCGTCCGCGGGGGCAGCGCCAAGGGCTGCGAGGTCGCGGCGCCGTCGGGGCCGGGGGCGGAGGCCCGGGGACCCGGGCTGGGGGCCGTCCGCGCTCCGGGGCGCGCCGTTCCTACCTGCCTACGAAATTCTCGAGCACCGAGCTCTTGCCGGCGCTCTGGCCGCCCACCACGGCGATCTGCGGCAGGTCGAGGTCCGCGTTCTGGCCGATAGCGGAGAAGGCGTCCTGCAGCCGGTTGACCAGCGGGATGAGATCCTCCATGCCGCGGTTGCCCATGGTTGCAGCGGGCCCCGCGGGCTGCGATCGGCCGCCGCTCCGGCTCCCGGCTCCTGCTCCGCCGCTGCAGCCGCGCGCTCCGACTGCCTGCGCCGCGGACCCCCCCGCCCCTCCGTGAGCCGAGCGGAGCTCTGCGCCAGGATGCCGCCAGAGGGCGCTCAGGGCGCTGCGGGCTGGCCGCTGTGCGCAGGTGCCGCCTGCGGCACCATGGAGATTGTAGTTTTCTCCATCTGCGGCTTTTGGGGCGCTTGAGCCGTGCCTGGGGGGCTCTGATGCTGCACTGCAGCTATCATTCCTGGAAATGGGCAAGGTCTCACTCCTAGTACCGGGCCTCTCGGATAGTGGTCATGGCTGTCTCACTCCATCTTACAGAGATGGAAACTGAGGCTTGGAGAGAGATGGATCTCCTTCAAGGTCACGTCTCCTGACCTGGAGTTCCACTCGGCCTCACTGCCTTCTACTCTAGGTTCTGACACTTATTCATGGAGGCATGCCCTTCCTGCCTTGGGGCCTCAGTTTCCCTGTTCTAGAAGGAGACAGAACATTAATTCAACAAATATTTATTGAGCACCTACTATAAGCCAGCCCCTGTTTTAAGCAGCAGTGGAGATACAACAGTGAACAAGACCGACAATGTCTCTACCCTCAGATCTTACATTGGGGTGGTGGAGACAGACAGTAAATGAAGAAACAGGTAAATGAAATCGTAAATGTGAAAATAGTTTACACTAACAGTGATGGAAGAAGTAAACAGGGTGTGTTTAGAAGAGAGATACCTGTGTGGGTGCAAAAGGCCCATTTAGCCTGGGAGGAGGTGGGTGGTTCTCTGAGGAAGTGACATTTGAGAAGAGACCTAGATGATGAGAAGGAGCCAGCCACAGGCGGATCAGGGGGGAGAGCAGGCCAGACTGAATGAATAGCAAGTGCCAGGGCCCTGACCCTTGAAAGGCCTTCTTGGAAGAGCTGGGACTTCTTGTCCTAGAGAGTGTCAGTCTTTGCTCCAACCCATCAGGGTGGTGGTAAAACCGGAATTCAAATCTAGGACTCCTATAGCCCTACCCTATGTATCCCGTTCACATAGAGAGGCTGTGGGCCCCAGGCCTAGCCATCCACCTCTGATTCTGAGGAACCTAATTTGGACTGCCCACAAGGAGGCTAGGAAAGAGAGGCCAGCCAACCCTGTGCTGTTGGGCATCAGCGGGTCACCCTGTCTGTGAATGGGGGGGTGGGGTGGAGGAGCACTGCTGGGAGAACAGTGCCCTGGGAATCAGAGATCACCATTCACTCACCAGTTTAATGCATATTACCTGAGCCAGGCCCTATGCCAGACCCCAGAGATAAAGCAATGAGCAAATGGACAAAGTCCTTACCCATGTGTGGCTTATACCCGTATGTGGAAAAAGAGGAACAAAGCACCAACAAGCCAATAAATATGACTCTGTCAGATGGTGATGGGTGCTTTGGAAAGCAAGAAAGCTGGGGAAGGTTGGGGCAGGGGTAGTGTTGCTCTTTGTTTAGCGTGGTGAGAGTAGGACTCTGGTAAAAAGTGAACAGAGACCTGAAGGAAGTAAGGGAGTGACCCACATGGACATCTGGGGGCAGGGGATTTTCCAGGCAGGCAGAGGAAAATGAGCAGGCCCTGGGCTTTGTTCAAGCTGGGTGATCCAGGTCTCTTCCTGTCTCTGAGCCTCAGTTTTCTAATCTAGGTAATGGGGATAATGAGAGATTTAGAATCCCTATGAGGGGCGTGGCCCTGGCTTGGTGCTCGGGAGAATTTGATCTAACCAACTGATTGAGTCTTCCAGGCAGCTGGACCATCAGCTACACACATTGTGCATCCCGAGAAGCTGCTTAGAGCCAGCCCTTTATTATGCTCTGAGAACCAGAGAGGGCAGAGATGAAGTCTGAAGTGGAGCCATTAATTTGGGGAGGGGGTGCAGTTTGCAGATGTCTGCCCAGAGGGGCGCCATCACAGCTGGGTTGTTTTTTCTTAATTACAGTAGTGAAACTTACTGTAAAAGTCAGACTTTACACAATATTTCAAAGCTTCTGGTCATCCTCCCACCCACAGATAACCACTATGTATAGCTTTTATGGTGTTTATTCTCTGGTTTGTCCCCTATATATTCATTTTGTTTCATTTTGTTTTTACAGAAATGGGATCATACTATATAGGTCTGGTACCAGACCAGCAGCTTGGACATGACCTGGAGTTTGTCAGAAATGTAGAATCTCTTGGGGCACCTGGGTGGCTCAGTCGGTTAAGCTTTGGGTCAGGTCATGATCCCAGAGTCCCGGGATCGAGCCCCGCATCGAGCCCTGCATCGATTCCTGCTCCTTCCTCTCCCTCTACCCACAGCTCCCCCTGCTTATGCTCTCTCTCTGTGTCAAATAAATAAATAAAATCTTAAAAAAAA